AACCCCCACCCCCCCCTGGTGTGGTTGTGTCCAACCCCCACCCCCCCCTGGTGTGGTTGTGTCCACCCCCACCCCCCCTGGTGTGGTTGTGTCCACCCCCCCTGGTGTGGTTGTGTCCACCCCCACCCCCTGGTGTGGTTGTGTCCACCCCCACCCCCCCCCTGGTGTGGTTGTGTCCACCCCCACCCCCCCTGGTGTGGTTGTGTCCACCCCCCCCTGGTGTGGTTGTGTCCACCCCCACCCCCCCCTGGTGTGGTTGTGTCCACCCCACCCTGGTGTGGTTGTGTCCACCCCCACCCCCCTGGTGTGGTTGTGTCCAACCCCACCCCCCTGGTGTGGTTGTGTCCACCCCCACCCCCCTGGTGTGGTTGTGTCCACCCCCACCCCCCCTGGTGTGGTTGTGTCCACCCCCCCCCCCATGGTGTGGTTGTGTCCACCCCCACCCCCCTGGTGTGGTTGTGTCCACCCCCACCCCCCATGGTGTGGTTGTGTCCACCCCCCCCCCCTGGTGTGGTTGTGTCCACCCCCACCCCCCCTGGTGTGGTTGTGTCCACCCCCACCCCCCTGGTGTGGTTGTGTTCACCCCCACCCCCCCTGGTGTGGTTGTGTCCACCCCCCCCCCCCTGGTGTGGTTGTGTCCACCCCCACCCCCCCTGGTGTGGTTGTGTCCACCCCCCCCCCCCTGGTGTGGTTGTGTCCACCCCCACCCCCCCTGGTGTGGTTGTGTCCACCCCCACCCCCCTGGTGTGGTTGTGTCCACCCCCACCCCCCCCCTGGTGTGGTTGTGTCCATCCCCACCCCCCCTGGTGTGGTTGTGTCCACCCCCACCACCCCCCCCTGGTGTGGTTGTGTCCACCCCCACCCCCCTGGTGTGGTTGTGTCCACCCCCACCCCCCCTGGTGTGGTTGTGTCCACCCCCACCCCCCCCCCCTGGTGTGGTTGTGTCCATCCCCACCTCCCTGGTGTGGTTGTGTCCACCCCCACCCCCCCTGGTGTGGTTGTGTCCACCCCCACCCCCCCTGGTGTGGTTGTGTCCATCCCCACCTCCCTGGTGTGGTTGTGTCCACCCCCACCCCCCCTGGTGTGGTTGTGTCCACCCCCACCCCCCCTGGTGTGGTTGTGTCCACCCCCACCCCCCCCGGGTGTGGTTGTGTCCACCCCCCCCCCCTCTGGTGTGGTTGTGTCCACCCCCACCCCCCTCTGGTGTGGTTGTGTCTACCCCCACCCCCCCTGGTGTGGTTGTGTCCACCCCCCCCCCCCTGGTGTGGTTGTGTCCACCCCCACCCTGGTGTGGTTGTGTCCACCCCCACCGGCCCCCTGGTGTGGTTGTGTCCACCCCCACCCCCCCTGGTGTGGTTGTGTCCACCCCCACCCTGGTGTGGTTGTGTCCACCCCCACCCCCCCTGGTGTGGTTGTGTCCACCCCCACCCCCCCCTGGTGTGGTTGTGTCCACCCCCCCCTGGTGTGGTTGTGTCCACCCCCACCCCCCCTGGTGTGGTTGTGTCCACCCCCACCCCCCTGGTGTGGTTGTGTCCACCCCCACCCTGGTGTGGTTGTGTCCACCCCCACCCCCCCTGGTGTGGTTGTGTCCACCCCCACCCCCCTCTGGTGTGGTTGTGTCCACCCCCACCCTGGTGTGGTTGTGTCCACCCCCACCCCCCTCTGGTGTGGTTGTGTCCACCCCCACCCTGGTGTGGTTGTGTCCACCCCCACCCCCCTCTGGTGTGGTTGTGTCCACCCCCCCCCCTCTGGTGTGGTTGTGTCCACCCCCACCCCCCTGGTGTGGTTGTGTCCACCCCCACCCCCCTGGTGTGGTTGTGTCCACCCCCACCCCCTGGTGTGGTTGTGTCCACCCCCACCCCTCTGGTGTGGTTCTGTCCCCCCCCCCCTGGTGTGGTTGTGTCCACCCCCACCCCCTGGTGTGGTTGTGTCCACCCCCACCCCCTGGTGTGGTTGTGTCCACCCCCACCCCCCCTGGTGTGGTTGTGTCCACCCCCACCCCTCTGGTGTGGTTGTGTCCACCCCCACCCCTCTGGTGTGGTTGTGTCCCCCCCCTGGTGTGGTTGTGTCCACCCCCACCCCCCCTGGTGTGGTTGTGTCCACCCCCACCCCCCCTGGTGTGGTTGTGTCCATCCCCACCTCCCTGGTGTGGTTGTGTCCACCCCCACCCCCCCTGGTGTGGTTGTGTCCACCCCCACCCCCCCTGGTGTGGTTGTGTCCACCCCCACCCCCCCTGGTGTGGTTGTGTCCACCCCCCCCCCTCTGGTGTGGTTGTGTCCACCCCCACCCCCTGGTGTGGTTGTGTCTACCCCCACCCCCCCTGGTGTGGTTGTGTCCACCCCCCCCCTGGTGTGGTTGTGTCCACCCCCACCCTGGTGTGGTTGTGTCCACCCCCACCCCCCCTGGTGTGGTTGTGTCCACCCCCACCCCCCCTGGTGTGGTTGTGTCCATCCCCACCCTGGTGTGGTTGTGTCCACCCCCACCCCCCCTGGTGTGGTTGTGTCCACCCCCACCCTGGTGTGGTTGTGTCCACCCCCACCCCCCCTGGTGTGGTTGTGTCCACCCCCACCCCCCCTGGTGTGGTTGTGTCCACCCCCACCCTGGTGTGGTTGTGTCCACCCCCACCCCCCCTGGTGTGGTTGTGTCCACCCCCACCCCCCCTGGTGTGGTTGTGTCCATCCCCACCCTGGTGTGGTTGTGTCCACCCCCACCCCCTCTGGTGTGGTTGTGTCCACCCCCACCCTGGTGTGGTTGTGTCCACCCCCACCCCCCTCTGGTGTGGTTGTGTCCACCCCCACCCCCCTCTGGTGTGGTTGTGTCCACCCCCCCCCCTGGTGTGGTTGTGTCCACCCCCACCCCCCAGGTGTGGTTGTGTCCACCCCCACCCCCCTGGTGTGGTTGTGTCCACCCCCACCCCTCTGGTGTGGTTCTGTCCCCCCCCCCTGGTGTGGTTGTGTCCACCCCCACCCCCTGGTGTGGTTGTGTCCACCCCCACCCCCTGGTGTGGTTGTGTCCACCCCCACCCCCCCTGGTGTGGTTGTGTCCACCCCCACCCCTCTGGTGTGGTTGTGTCCACCCCCACCCCTCTGGTGTGGTTGTGTCCCCCCCCTGGTGTGGTTGTGTCCACCCCCACCCCTCTGGTGTGGTTGTGTCCCCCCCCTGGTGTGGTTGTGTCCACCCCACCCCCCCTGGTGTGGTTGTGTCCACCCCTACCCTCCCCTTGGTGTGGTTGTGTCCACCCCTACCCCCCCCTGGTGTGATTGTGTCCACCCCCACCCCCCCCCTGGTGTGGTTGTGTCCACCCCCACCCCCCCCTGGTGTGGTTGTGTGCACCCCCACCCCCCCCCTGGTGTGGTTGTGTCCACCCCTACCCTCCCCTTGGTGTGGTTGTGTCCACCCCTACCCCCCCCCTGGTGTGGTTGTGTCCACCCCTACCCTCCCCCCCCAGGTGTGGTTGTGTCCACCCCTACCCTCCCCTGGTGTGGTTGTGTCCACCCCTACCCCCCCTGGTGTGGTTGTGTCCACCCCTACCCCCCCCCCTGGTGTGGTTGTGTCCACCCCTACCCCCCCCCTGGTGTGGTTGTGTCCACCCCTACCCTCCCCTTGGTGTGGTTGTGTCCACCCCTACCCCCCCCCTGGTGTGGTTGTGTCCACCCCTACCCTCCCCTTGGTGTGGTTGTGTCCACCCCTACCCTCCCCTTGGTGTGGTTGTGTCCACCCCTACCCTCCCCTTGGTGTGGTTGTGTCCACCCCTACCCCCCCCCCTGGTGTGGTTGTGTCCACCCCTACCCTCCCCTTGGTGTGGTTGTGTCCACCCCCACCTTGGTGTGGTTGTGTCCACCCCTACCCTCCCCTTGGTGTGGTTGTGTCCACCCCCACCCTGGTATGGTTGTGTCCACCCCTACCCTCCCCTTGGTGTGGTTGTGTCCACCCCCCCCCCTGGTATGGTTGTGTCCACCCCTACCCTCCCCTTGGTGTGGTTGTGTCCACCCCCACCTTGGTGTGGTTGTGTCCACCCCTACCCCCCCCCTGGTGTGGTTGTGTCCACCCCCACCCCCCCCTGGCGTGGTTGCGTCCACCCCCCAATACGTCCCATCTATGGCATCGACAAATCCGTTCAAAATACGAGGCATTATTCCTCATTTTAAACCTCCGTAACTTTAACGGTCTCTCTACCTCGGCATCATTGGGTTTGGTGGGGTGCTAGGGTTGGCGCGCTTCTAGTTGGGCCAAAACAGTTCTATTTTTTACGGAGTGACCACAGAGGCCATCCTTGGGGGGGGGGACAGCAGCTGGTCTCCACAGGACCCAAATTAAACAACACAGGACTTAATCTGGTCATGTTTATTCCCAGTACAAACAAGGCGGCCCAGGACGGACCTTCGTATATACATGTAAACTGTGTTAACTCCGGTGCTTTGTACATGTGTAGAGGCTGGGGGGGCGGGGGCCTCGGTGACTAGCGGGGAGGGAGAGAGGGAGATACTGGGAGGAGTGAGGGAGGGAGAGAGGGAGATAGAGGGTGGAAAGAGGGAAGAGTGTCTGTGATACTGAGAGAGAGAGAGAGAGAGAGAGAGAGAGAGAGAGAGAGAGAGAGAGAGAGAGAGAGAGAGAGAGAGAGAGAGAGATGGGGGGCGGGGGGCGTGATGGAGGGGGTGGTCAACACAGCCACATAATACTGATCACAACAATACAGTCAACACTCTCCAACATAACAGCGGTCAACATTAACCAATTAACAATAACATCAATGGTAACTTTTACCACAAACCTCAGATAAAGAAGTGAATTAAATGCCTCCAATATGAACACATATCATTACTTTATATTAATAATTAATAAGTTTATTTATAATATTATCGACAATTTATGATTACCAATATTTATTATATAATATATATTATATAATATTATCGACAATTGAATAATGATAAAAAATAATTTGAGTAATATATCAATATAAAATATAGTTACATTTAATTAAAAAATTGCGCTTTAGAACATTCTTAATCAGTTTAAAATGTCAAAAAAAAATTATAACATTTAAATATTAAGAAACGAGTATTTGCGTTTTTAAAGTATTTGAACATTTGTGGAATTTGCTGAAACACGAACAAAAGTCTTCGTTGATCTCACTCGTTGGTCGCGTTTGTTAATCACATTTAAATGAGTCTACGCTTTTGTTGACAGTTTACTCTCAGAAGCACTTAAGACAGTCTCCAGTTATTGTCGCTATGGTCGTCCAGTCACCAGGACCCAGTTTGTTCAGGACTCCAACATGTGAAGACTGAGCCGTCCAGAGTCAGTTCAGAGAGCTGTGTGACGCTTCATGTGAAGACTGAGCCGTCCAGAGTCAGTTCAGAGAGCTGTGTGACCCAACATGTGAAGACTGAGGCGTCCAGAGTCAGTTCAGAGAGCTGTGTGACCCAACATGTGAAGACTGAGCCGTCCAGAGTCAGTTCAGAGAGCTGTGTGACCCAACATGTGAAGACTGAGCCGTCCAGAGTCAGTTCAGAGAGCTGTGTGACCCAACATGTGAAGACTGAGCCGTCCAGAGTCAGTTCAGAGAGCTATGTGACGCTTCATGTGAAGACTGAGGCGTCCAGAGTCAGTTCAGAGAGCTATGTGACCCAACATGTGAAGACTGAGCCGTCCAGAGTCAGTTCAGAGAGCTATGTGACCCAACATGTGAAGACTGAGGCGTCCAGAGTCAGTTCAGAGAGCTGTGTGACCCAACATGTGAAGACTGAGGCGTCCAGAGTCAGTTCTGAGAGCTGTGTGACCCAACATGTGAAGACTGAGCCGTCCAGAGTCAGTTCAGAGAGCTATGTGACGCTTCATGTGAAGACTGAGGCGTCCAGAGTCAGTTCAGAGAGCTATGTGACCCAACATGTGAAGACTGAGCCGTCCAGAGTCAGTTCAGAGAGCTATGTGACCCAACATGTGAAGACTGAGGCGTCCAGAGTCAGTTCTGAGAGCTGTGTGACCCAACATGTGAAGACTGAGGCGTCCAGAGTCAGTTCAGAGAGCTATGTGACGTTTCATGTGAAGACTGAGGCGTCCAGAGTCAGTTCAGAGAGCTGTGTGACCCAACATGTGAAGACTGAGCCGTCCAGAGTCAGTTCAGAGAGCTGTGTGACCCAACATGTGAAGACTGAGCCGTCCAGAGTCAGTTCAGAGAACTGTGTGACCCAACATGTGAAGACTGAGCCGTCCAGAGTCAGTTCAGAGAGCTATGTGACCCAACATGTGAAGACTGAGGCGTCCAGAGTCAGTTCAGAGAGCTATGTGACGCTTCATGTGAAGACTGAGGTGGTCTGACCTGGAGAAAGCCCGCTCACATAGTCGACACTGGAAAGGTCGATCTCCAGTGTGTTTACGGTAGTGTCGAGTCAGTTCGTCGGACCTGGCGAACTTCCAGCCACAACCCTTCCACTTACAGGTGTAGGGCTTCTCCCCGGTGTGAGTCCTCAGGTGGGCCTTCAGGTGGGAAGACTTGGTGTAGGTCTTCAAACATCCGGGTTGTGGGCAGTTGTGGATGATTAGTCGTCTGCGGGCGCGGCGTCTTCGTGGGCGTGGGGGCGTGGGCGTGGTCGATGGGGGTAGCGTGGGCGGGCATAGAACAGGGGCGGCCACAATACCAGGGGCGTGGGGGGATGATGGGGGGGTTAATACCACGCCCGTGCCGCCCCAGTATTGGTACATAGTGCCAAACGTCGCCTGCGTTGAGGGCGTGGAGGACTGCGTGGTGGTGTAGGCGTGGGTGGTCGTACTGGGGGCGTGGCACGTGGTGTAGGCGGCGTGGGCGGCTGTACTGGGGGCGTGGGTGGCTGTACTGAGGGCGTGGGCGGTGGTGAAGGCGGCGCGGGCGTGGACGGTGGTGGTATAAGCGGTGGTGATAGCCGCGGGGTGAGGGTAGTGGTGGTAGTGGTAGACGGGACGCCCCGTGCCCTCAGCGTACCCATACTCCTGCTGTGGGTACTGCTGCTGTTGTCGCTGCTGCTGCTGCTGCTGCTGCGGTCTGTGGTGTGGCTCCTGCTGGAGGCGCGGCGGAGGCAGGAACTGAGGAACCACCTGCTCATAATCAGCTTTAGCGGAGCCAAAAGCTGCAGCGATGGAGGGTAGAGCCACGTGTCCGGCGCCCTTGTGGTCGGCCTCCTCCAGCACCTGCTGCTGCTGCTGCTGCTGCTGGTGGTGCTGGTGGTGGTGGTGGTCGGGTATTGGAGGCGTGGGAGGGTAGGGCACGGGGGAGTGTACACTCGTGTCCCCCTTCACGAAGGTCTCGTGTTGCTCAGCCTGCAACACGACAGGACTCGTCTCCTCCAGCAACACAGACTCTAGATCAAGCCACATCTGCAACACAAACAAATCTAAAATAAGATTTCAATTCCGGGTTCGTCATTAAGTAGAATAAGCCAATTTAAAATCAAATTAGAACACGTAAGTCCTTCTGAAAGGCACTTAATTAATTATATAATATTTTCTCACTAATGGATCACG